GTTATTGTCGAGGTTTTTAGGAGCGCCTCTCTCTTACAATATATCATAATCCTTCATACTGTCAGGGTCGTTGGTCTGATTAAATTTAGTTAATTTGAGTTAGCCCTCAATCATATAAAATTTATATCACCCTCACTATAAGCTTTGAGCATTACATTATATTTACATGGTATCATCATCCATTTGTACTATCATTAGTGTAAAGTAAATGGATGCAATATAATAATTTGGATGAAAATAGTATTTCAATCGAAGCACGTGTTGCTTTTAAACTAAGCTTAAGAGGATTGACCCCCAAATGAATATACATTACATAAAGAAGTAATATTATAACCTTGCTATGTGTCAAATTCTGTAATCATTAGTGCAACAATAGGTCACTAGAAAATCTTAATTTGACAAAAAGCCAAGTTAATCAACCTGTTAAATGCCTTCGGAGGATGATAGGGCCCACGGATAGGTGGCATTGGACTCGATAAGGGAGAAAATCTATGTATATATGAACATATTTACAGGTATATGCTGGCCCAATGTGGAACACATATAACTGAATTTAGATATGAAAATAAGGCTAACTTACTTATCTTGGTGAATCCTTGGGATTGCTGGGTGTGGTCACATTCCCATAATTAGTGACAGTAATTAATATTTTTATATCATCATTTTATTCATAAGTAATTAAAGATAATAAATAATTATCAAAATATTATTAAATTTTTTTATAGAATTGATACATGATAATCTATGAAGATAATTATATTTTAAGGTTCAATTTACATTTCAACAGCAAATGCACTAAAAATTTATTGAACACAAGTGTACATCAACTAATGCTAGCTATCAGCAGGGGCAGACAAGGAGAAAATTATTTATATATGAACATATTTACAGTATATGTGAGCCCATGTGAACACATATACTGATTTACATATAAAAATAAGTAATATTATCTGTAACTTGATGTGTTGTAATTCTAAATTATAAGAGAATTTTGAAAAATTTTTCATTTATTTTCTTATAAGATTTTGTTTAAAACAATTATCATTTGTGAGCTCTAATATTTTTTTTAAAATATATATAATAGAAAATTTGTAGATTCAAATTTAAATTTGAGATTCTATTACTAATATGACAATAATTTATATTTTTATTTAAATAAATTTATTACAAAATCTAATTATGGACCTATGGCTGAAAATTATCTAAATTGTATAAAGAAAATGAGATACAATCTTGCAAAAATAATTGGGATTAAATCCAAATATCAATTCAAATCTTTTAGTGAGTAACTTTTTAGTTATAATCTATAATCTATATTATATATAAATATGGAAACGGGAATAATGAAATTTTTGATATTGCCTTTAATAAAATTTGGAATATCTTAAAATATCTTTACTCGTAATCCACTCAAAAATTATATTTTATATCAATAAGTGTTTAGATTAGTGATTGAGCACTTTTTTCCCATAAGTGAGGTCAAGGGTTCGATCTTTATGGATGAAGCAAATACTTGTTAAGAGCATTTTAACCTTTTTTGGCCGAAACGATGCAAGTAGGATTTAGTTCTAGCCCAGTGGACTTTATACATATGGACAAAAAAAAAATAAAAATTACATTTTATTATTTGATTGGATATAATTTTAAAAATTATTCTTTAAATAAATACATATAGATAATAAAAAATATATACTCTTCCGATAGTTTATTTCGTGAGAATAGAACGTTTCTTTTATGTAATCATTTTTATTAATTAACTTATTTATTTATCTATTTTAAAATTGCACTTTAGAAAAGTAAATATATTAAAAAGAATATGACATGTTCTAAATAAATTTTTAATTTGATTGGTTATAATTATTTGCTATAAGTAATTTATTTCACAAAGAATAAATATATTTTATTGTTATTTATTAAAAATTATATTATAAGATTTATTGATTAATAGAAAATAGAAAATAAAAATCACTATATATATATAATATAACACATTATATTACCTAACCATATAATACGTTTGAGAGAATTTTTTCTAAAAAAAAAATTATAAAACTAATTATATGCTCATAGATTTAGTAAAAAGTAAAAACAAAATACTAAATTATAAATAATTTTCTAAAGTAATGGTTAATATATTCATCATTACAACAACTAATACTGATTTTTCATATTTTAGTAATATAGACCGTTTATAATATTATATTATATATATATAAAATTGGATTTATTAAACTTAAATGTTATAAGAAAATTTAAATTGGTTAATAAGTAATTTTATTTTCATGAAAATTTAGTTGTCAAATTATAGTAATGTTTTATTATAAATATGTTATTTTCTTAACAAGTTATATAATTATTAGAAATTTTATTTTATTATTTTATAAATATATTTTTTTTATTTTGTGAATGATCTTACATTTTTATCAAGTTATATTTATTTGAAACGACTAGAAATCAACAAGTACAAAAATCGTGTAATGCATGTTGGATAAAACTAGTTCATACAAAATGAACAAGATATCTAGAATCAAATACCATAAATTCTTAAAATTTGAGATATTTAAATTTCAATCCAAAGAAATTAGGAGGTAAACATAAAAGGTAAACATAAAAAGAAGAAAAAAGGATAAAAGTGGGAACTTGCAAATTCAATAAGGATTGATTATATTAACTTACAATAAACAACATATTTAGGGCATCTTCAATAATAATGTGAATTATTTTTATTTAATTATCATATCGAAAAAATAGAAAAATTTTTTTAAAAATGAAGGTCCCCATTTGTAATGTTTATTTATTATGTCAATCTGATGTGTAAAAAAATAAAATAGAAATTAACAACCACATTTTCCTATTTTTAAAATTAACGTCTATAAATAGACATTCAGCCATATCATTTTTTGTACCTTTTATTCTATGCGACAGATCAACTACAATTTACATTCATATTGAATTCTTCAATTTTTCAATTGTCTTTTAATATATAAATAAAAGGTAACCATGAAAAAGAAGAAAAAAAAGGAGTAAAAAGGTGGAGGACTTTGCCCAAATTCCAATAAGGGATTGGGAATTATAGCTCTACTTTGACAATAAACAATCGAGTATATACGTCCTAGGGGCAATTCGGTTCAATAATTATAATTTGGTGACATTAATTTCTTGTTCCGATAAATTATATCGAGTCGGGAAAGAAAAATGAAACCGGAAATATGAACATCTGTGTTTGCTGAAAAGATAAACTAGAAGGGTCCCTGCGCTGACTATTTAGATATAGATTGGTTGACTAATTAATTCTAAAATTGATATAACTCAATTACAACATGTTATAGGGGTTGAAAAAAAAACGTAGAAAAATAAAGAAAATTAACCAACCTCCGCAGTTTCTATTTTTTGTACCATATATTCTTCAATGTCTATAAAATAACCCATATATCCACAGCGCATAAGCCATATTTTTGTCATGTTTACTTATGTATTCTATGCCACACAGAATCTAAACTACTACATTTTTATCAATGTATTCTATCTCATAGATATATGATTTCTTATACAACTTTTTTATTTCCTTTTAAATATAAATAAATTACCAATTTTTTTTTGAATGAAAGGCTATAATAATATTTATTATGATATTGTAACTACATTCTTAATATAGATAGATCATCATTATTATATAGAAAGACAATTAATTAGATTAATAACTACAATAACGAAGCCAAATTGAAATAAGTGAAAAGTATTTTAATAGTTTTTAACTGGGGACAGAACTATTTTTACAATGACGAAGAATATTAAAGGGAGCAAATTGAATAAGGAAAAGATTTATATTTAACAGGGACAAATTGAATAAAAAAATATATAATGGCGTTGTTTTACAATTTTGGCAATTGCATTCCTAATTACCAGTCAACTATTACAAACAACTAAATTAAACAGATCATTAGTTCTTTGAGAAACCAAGACTCCCTAAATTTTTAAAATTAATTTTTTTGTTTCCATAAGTTGTGTTTACATTCTTTAAAATATACATATTCTAAATTTTTATTTTTACTTTGTACCCCGTAATATTTAAAAATTCAGTTACGTGTCCGACTCTCAGAATTATCTTATCGTACTGATTAAAAGCTAGCCTCATCAGGTTATTTTTTATGTTCGTAGCCAGTGGTTAGTTGTCAATCTGTCATGCCTACTTCCTTACAAGGGAAAGCATGAACCATCCTGTTTGTACCAAATTAAATTGCTCAGAATTAACTTTACACCTATGATTGTGTTATCACTTGTGAACATATACATTTTTATTAAGAACTCACAATTAAACAAGTTTAAATAAATAAATAAACATAATTCGCATAAATTTTTTACAGTCTTGTATACCAAAAAAAAAAAAAAAAAAAAAAAAAAAAAAAAAAAAAAGAAAGAAAAAGATTATGGGATAAGTAGTTTGAGCGTTAATGAGCCATACAATAGAAGCTACATGTTACAGCAACCTATACGTATATCAGAGAGACCAGACATTAAAATAATCGAGTGATAAATGTAGGAGTTGATTGATGGCAAGCAAACGTGACAGAAACTAAAAACTGTAACTCCCAACATATCAGAGGGAAATTAAAGTATCGAACATGGGCGATTTTCTAAGGCAATTGTAATCATCGCTCAGTATCTTCTTAGAGATCACAGCAAAGAGTCATAGAAATACACGAGGGCGATAGCTGGCTGTATTTAAGGAGGAAGACAGACCCTTCCCCCCTCAGATGATCCATCCCTTCATCACGGAGTCGCAAAAATTAGCTATCAACCAAGGTAAATTAGTATTTGATTTTGGCTTTCAATTTTCCTAGAATAGATTGATTGTGTGTTTTTTCAATTTGTATATAGTGAGTAGTATTTGTTGCGTATTTTCGTTAGATAATCTGTATATCACTAATTTCTTTAGATAACAACTGGTTCGGTGGATCAAAAAGCAGTATGTTTCATTAATGAACGCGGTGAAATATGCAAAGCTACATGTCATCCCTCACTAGTGAGCACCATAAATAGAGGAAATGGGAGTTGATTGATGGCATGCAAACAGTGTACAGAAACTAAAAACTGTACTCAACATATCAGAAATTAAGATCAAATGGCGAGCTTAAGGCAAGAACAGCTCAGACTTGGACACAGCAACCGCATAGCTGCTGTTAATTTAGAGGGCCAGACCCCTTCTCCCGTTGATCATCATCATCAAAAGGACCCAAATACTCACCAGGTATATATATATATTAAGTTATAATTTTGTTTTTCTATTAATTTTTATTGTTATTAATACTTATAATTCTTTAGAAACCTTGGTGGAGAAACTTCCTATCATATGTAGGACCTGGCTTTCTGGTTTCTTTGGCTTATCTTGATCCTGGCAATTGTAAGCTTTCATTGCTTTCTTGCTTATCTCTGTTTTCTTTTCTTATTATTATTATTATTATCATCATTCGGTGTCCAAAATTCAAAATTGCGAAATAGTCCGCTTAAATTGGATTAGCAGCGAAAGGCCTGCTGAGGCAAAATGCTCTCTTTCGACTGTTTAAAAGCACTCCGTGCTCACTCTTAAGCTCTGGCTAAGAGTGAAAGAATTTCTGTAATTCATTTTGCTTGTGGGACATTATTGTATTATTATTATTATTATTATTATTATTATTATTATTATTAGTGAAGTAGATACGTAATAATCTAAGTTACCCTCTGTTTATCACACGTGTACGCGTGCATGTAAATGTGACTGACAAATTGTGGTTACAATGGCATTTGTGCAGTAGAAACCGATATGCAGGCTGGAGCAAACCACGGTTATGAGGTCATTAAATAAATTAAAGGACAAAAATATTATTATTATTTATATTTTTTTTATATCAATAAGATAAATTAAGGGAAATTAATTAGATTAATCGACATGCTATTTATCTATTTTTCAGCTTCTGTGGGTCATTCTTATTGGTTTGATTTTTGCTCTCATTATTCAGTCTCTATCTGCAAATCTTGGTGTGAGTACAGGTAAAATTAGTAATTAAACCAGCTGCAATAAAAAAATTAAAAATTTTTATTTATTTTTTGAATTCAGGTCACAGCTTAATTAATTAATTAATAATATTCGATTATCAGGAAAGCACCTGTCTGAATTGTGCAAGGCAGAATACCCAAAATATATCAAGCTCTGTTTATGTTTACTAGCAGAGGTAGCTAACTCTATGTTGCATGAAAATGGAAACATAGAAATGGAAAAACCACATTTTAAATAAAATTTATACAGGAAAATGGTATTTTATATATCGAAATGGATGCACGAAAACGATTCTGAAACGCAAAAATATTACCCATAGCTAAGAGTTTTCTTGCATCATAATGCTGGCTTGTACTTTTAGGAGGAGCATTGAGCATCTGAGTTTCAATGCAGTTAGGAGTAATTCATGCAAATTGCAGTAAATTAAGAGGTACTAGTAGGCTGAGCAGATTTCAATTTGAACTGACCGAACCGAACTGGTTTACTTCTGTCAAATTTATCACAAGAAGGTTGGTGTTCGATTTAAATGGGTGAACTGAAATTTATATATATATTATATATATATTTTTTGCTTTGGATATATATATATATATATATATTTTTTTGGCTTTGTTCTCGACTTCAAGAGGATAAAACATTTAGTCCCAAAAATAAACTGAACTACCCTAAAAGCATCCAAAGGCCGATTACAACAACCCGGTTCAGTTCTGGTCTCTACTATCTTCATGAATTTTAATTTTGTAAAATTCAATATATTTAGTTTTTTTTAAAATAAATCGGCTAAATATGTAAATTCATATTATAGTTTGAAAAATTCTGCTGTATCTCAAATTTTACGAATGTCTATTATACTCATAAAATTATAAGTTTTAATAATATTATTCACATTTCTGCATTAGAAACAATATTTTAAAAATAAAAATAATTCTAACTGATTTATATATGTAATAACATCTTTCATGAAAACTGGTATTTTCGTAACTAAAATTACTTTCCGATACCTTTAAACTGAACAACATTAAGTTTTATTTACCTCACATTCTTTCCATATCCATATATATATATATATATATTTAAAAATCATTGTCTGAATTTACCTTCGTTTAATAAATCCTATCAAAGGACTGGGGACCCACGTCTTGACCAAGAGACAAGTGAGCTTCCATCTCTTCCCCTACATTTACACACTTGACTCTCTTATTCCTGTGAAGTAAAATGATGATAGGAAAACTGACTTATCATCTGTTGGGAATATGATATAAATAATCATAATATACATTATGATTATTTGCCTTTTTATCATATATTTTTCTCGCAAAATAATTAAAGGCTTCTCCATTTTACTTACCCAATAAAGAAATAGTTTTGATTTCAAACTTCTCATTATAAAAATTCCATTGAATTTTTTTTTAAAAAAAGTAATAATTGCATCTGCAGAATATGACATTGTATTCATTGCTATCCACACCTTGATTTGTCTTAGCTACTTCTAATTTTGCAGTTATTAGATACAAGAAAAAGAAAAAAAGAGCGAGACCAATAATTAACGGACACGAAATTGATTCTCAACTTTTATCTTAAATTTGAATGACATTTTTTTTATTTATTGAAAAGTCTATAATCGAAATAACAATACACGACACACAATTAGAATAGTCTTTCCATTGGCTCATCAAATTGGTAAAATAATTGGTAAAATTTTTATAGTATAGAAGATTCAAACTCGAGCTCACTCCTCATATTAGTGAAAAAATCAATTAAATCGTATCCGATTCGTAATTTGAATAGTATTTAACAAATAAGTCAACTATAGATATTATAGTTACAATTGAGAAAGTGATGTCCTGTTGCCAATCCGATCGTCATAACGTAATAAATTGTTGGTACTATTTTCTTATGTTGAATCATAGAAGACTTGAATATATTATTTATTGCTATATAACTCTCACGTTTAAGTGATTATAGGGATAATAAATTAGAGATGTCATTTTAAATTGTTACATATTCTAATTTTCTTCTACTTAATTATCTGCCATTCAAATTTAAGATTTTAAGTTCATGATCAAATTTTAAGTGTGTTGTTTTTCTTTTGGTGTAGTCTAAGTAAAAGAAAATGTGAAGAAAATGTCCCTGTCCTCTGAAAGAGTTCCTAATCCATTTTATATATTCGTAAAATAGATAAACAAATAAATAATCAAATAATAGCATCGACTTTCCTTTTTAATAAAGGCGACAAAAAAAAGCCTGAATTTTGACATTTTTATCGATTCTAGACAGTTCTTTTAATTTTATCAATCAATATCGCGTACTTAGTTTTCTGTATAGATTCTAGCCTCCGTTTGTCTTCCGTTAATTTTATGCTAATCTGGCAGTTATCTCTTACAAGTGAACCCTATAACATTCAATGTTTGCGCCAAGTCATATATCCACGTATATTAAAAAAAAAGCTTAAACTTTAAGATTTTTATCAGATCTAGCAAGTTTTTTTAATTTTATCAATTAATACCGCGTATTAATTAATCTCTATCAAATGATTTTGTTTTATTGATATTTATTCAATTAAATAATTCATTAATTAACTATAGATATTAAGTGTATAATGGGATTAATCAATTAGAATTCAACATTTTTAAAATACTCTTCAGTAAAATTGAATTCTAATTGATTAATCTCATTATATCGTCATTTTAATTTTTTATCCAATTAATAACCCGTGCGGTAATTAAATTAGATCTCTATCAATATGAAAATTTTGTTTTATTGATATTGTTTTTTAAAATAAAATAATTTCCATTAATTAACTAAGATATTAACTCTACTAATATCTCTCTTTACTGGTGAGGATTGCGTTGCATATTAAATTCAACAATTACTTATAAAAATACTCAAGTAAATATGGGAAGTGCCAATTTGAGTAATACACTAGATTATCTATCTTTATCCTTCTTATCTTAGTGTTAGATGATATGATAATACATTTTATTATGCAGGAGTATTGCATGAATATAATTATAAATTTAATTGAATAACAAAATCATTTTAAAACCCTTAAAGTTCAGGCTTAAAGTTAAAAGAACTGGCTATTGATATTTATTTTTAAAAAAACAAGTAAAAAATCAATTAGAATTCAATTTTACTGAAGAATCTTTTAAAAATAAAAATCTGTAGTTAATTAATGATTTTTAAAATACAACTAGCCTGCAACAAAATAAGGACTATAATTACAGGGATAGACTAGTTGTATTTCATAACTACAGGGATCAAACTATAATTTTCCCTAATTAAGCACTTAAAATCAAAGTTTGAAGTCAATTTCTCTTGGACGCATGGAGAGAGAAAATTTGCACCAATAAGCTAGTAAAAAAATCAAATATTGCATGTTCCTTTTCTTTTCTTCTCCAAATAACCTATCACCGTGCTTTCTATTCTCTCATATCACTGATTCTCTCTCTTCAATCCTTAACAATCCTCTGTTGTAATTTCAACTATGATTTTTTCTCATTTGCGGGTGAACAAAACATTTATTTTTTTATCCTTGTAGTGTGATTCAATAACTCCTTCTTTTTCTATATTTCTATTGTTTATCCAAATTCGTCATAAATTCTGCCATGGCGTTAATGGTGAAGTATTGTGTGTGTTTTTTCTTTTCTTTTTTTTTTTTTTTTTTTTTTCTGTTTTTTCTTTTCTTTTTTTTTTCTTTTTTTTTCTCTTTTTTTCTTTGCAAGTTTGTGGTCTTTTGGTATTAATATCTACTTGATTTCATATTGGGATTTATGAGAGTTTCTATTAAACTTTCTCCCTGTTTGTCTAAATATTTGATGAACTCAAATCTCGAATTGAGTATGAATTGGTGTTGTCGTCTGCATTATTTCCTTGCATTTTCTTTGTTGAGTGTGTGTGTATTCAAGCACGCTCAAGACGAGAAATTATGTTTTTTTACTCTTCAAGTTCGGCTTAATTATTATAAAATTATGACAATTCTTACAAAACGCTTACAAATAGACTCCTTTGTCTAAGTTTAAAGTATCCAATGGTTAAAAGGCGTAAACAGTTGAGGGGAAATTATGCATTGGACCAACTCAATATATCTGATAAACGGCATCATCCCCAACATTATCATAAAAAAACACATATTGACCAACTTGAACACGTAACTAACAATAAGCGATCGATTTGAGTACAGAAATAATTAATAAAGGGTAATATAAACATCCACATAACCAACCCCCGTCTTAGTTAGCTCAATCCTAAATGGTTTAGTCTTCTATTTATTATAATACTCCCTATAAGATTCGTTCTAATGAGATGAACTCTCCTAAAATAAAACAGGTGTACTTAAAACATTGGTCCAAGACAATTCTCTCAATATTCAAACAGGACGATATTATATTTACCAAACGACTTTAATACATCAAAGCACAAATTGATAGAAATTAATCACTATTACAAAGATATGAAGATACAACTGTCTACACGGGCATCTTTTTTTTGGTACTAAACCCTCACGCGTATTACGCAACCCTACTCATTCCGAGACAGTCTAATCCATGGCTTCCGCGAAACTCTAATCACAGTTAAGCTTCGCCCTTTTTCTATAACCGATGCATTTAGTAGGGATTACGGTACTCAATAGCATCCTCTTCAGCATGTCCGAGCCTGGCCGTTGTCAACTGAGCCACAACTCGTACACCTTACACATCACGACCATTTTATACACCCAACTGGACATGATGCTTATGTATTATTAAAATATATAATTTTTATATCACTGGACCACACGATACAGTTTTTTCCTGATAATCGCGCTCATCCGAACTCTTGATTGAGCTCTTGGTAAGTGATTAGGAAAAAAGTGTCTTCCC